CATTACTACCCGTCCCATCAGTTCGAGGACTCTCTAGGCGCCGCCGCGACTAACACTCGTCTCGGCGACAGCGACGCCGCCGGCTCTCGGGGCCGCGGAGTACGTCGTTGGGCCGCTTAAACTTTTCTCTCTTTCTGTAACACCAGTTCTAAAGGCATCGTCGAGTCGAGAGAGAGAGAGAGAGAGAGAGAGAGAGAGAGAGAGAGAGAGAGCAAACAGTGGTATGCAATATCCCTTCTCTCGCATTGTTCCGCCGGAGCAGCTCAGGCAGGCTGGCGTGCGTTCTCGGGTTCTCGCCACCGCCTCGATTTTTAAGCGAAAGTCTGTCGCAAGAGTCCGCGAAGCGCGACGTACGTAGTAGCATTCCGCGTGTGGTATACTGCGGCTGTACGAGAAACATCAAGCTCCCGGACACACTCTCACTCTCTTTCTCTCTCTCTCGCACACGAACACAGAACACAAGGCGCGACACATCATCAAGGAAAGCTCAACACAGCCGCGCGCCACGGAGTCCAGTCCGTGCACATTGCAGCCGCATGGGCATGTGCAAGCCGTACTTTCCACCATCAGCCCCCCTCCCTCCCCTCTATTCCACCCTTCTCTTTGGCGTCTTCCGCTCGCCGGCGCGACCCTCCGGCCCGCGGCGGGTGCGCGCGCACTACCACAACTACATACAACTTCCCCAAGGTCGCCCCGCAAAAGTGGGGCAGCAACGACGGGGGTACCGTCATCAGATAGCATGGCGCGCCGACTGTGCGAGTGCGGGAATGCGGGCCGGAGGGTGGTACTTGTGCAAGGCACCCGCCCCTGCGCGCGCCGCTTCCTTTTCTCTTTTGTTTCTCCCCCCCCCCTCCAACCCCTCTCTCTCTGCTCACTCCCTCCTCGATGTCCAGCAACAATATTTAATAACACATTCAACATGTTTTACTGCCGCGTATAACGAAGGCGGGCAGCAGACTCGCAGCAGCAGCTTTTTATGGCGAGCTGCTGCCCCGGCCGCCGCGCATGTGTGGGTGTGAGATTGCAGGCCTGTCACACAATGCCCCTCTTCCCCATGACTATCTCTCCCCTACTCGTCTCACTCTCCCTCTCTCTCTCTCTCTCTCTCTCTCTCTCTCTCTCTCTCTCTCTCTCTCTCATATACACGGCTCAATTAGACTCTTATCCTTCGGTTGCTATAACACTTGGCCGGGCCTGCGAGTGCAGCCCGGTGGCTGTATCGTATGCAACACGGGCTGCCCAGATAAATGGCGACGACAACAAACTTCGCTCCTCACCTGGCGGTGGGCGGCGCGGTGGGCCTTAATTGATTGCCTCACGCCGCGAACTTTGGCGAGCAGCTGAATCGGGGTGAAATAAGGTTGACGACCAAAAGGCGCAACAGCGAAGTAGAAGAGAGATAGAGAGCGAGCGAGCGAGAGGGAGAGAAAGGAGCTACTAAAGAGCTGCTAGAGAGGTAGGCGGGGCGGCGGCGACGAGGCCAAGTCGCCGAGGGAAAAGGTGGGGGGGAGCGGCCAGGGAGGGGAGTTTCCTGTCGGGAGGAAGATTGAAAAATATGGCCGGCGCGTGTTTATTATCGCTCCAAAAGGAACCGGAAGCCGGAACGAAGGTCAATGCGAGTTATAATGGGCGCGCTTCCGGAAGGGGTGAAGTCTGAGCCGCGGCGGGGAGTCGATGGCCGCCCCGCCGGGGAAGCAGGGGGGCAATGTCTTTCATAACCAGCAAAAACAACAAACGAAAAACAACAACTAAATCAAGTCCAGGTAAAAAGTGAGACAGGGATGAAAGGTGGAGGGTGGGTGGGGAGGGGTGGGGCGCCGTATACAAGTGGAGCAAAGTCTTTGTCGGTCCGTATGGCTCATTCATCACAGTGCTGGGCGAATCCATCATCCTCCATCCATCGCCGTTCTACACTTTAACAACCCTATCTCTCTCTCTCTCTCTCTCTCTGTCTCTATTTCTCTCTCTCTCTCTCTCTCTCTCTCTCTCTCTCTCTCTCTCTCTCTCTCTCTCTCTCTCTCTCTCTCTCTCTCTCTCTTTCTCTCTCTCTTTCTCTCTCTCTTTCTCTCTCTCTCTCCCTCTCTCTCTCTCTCCGTCTGTCTGTTTCTCTCTTTCTCTCTCTCTCCTTTTGGTTAACCGCAGCGTGAGTAG